TTATTCTGTCTACCACACGGGGATCAGAACGTGGACATCTTTGGGGATGTTATTCTGTCTACCACACGGGGATCAGAACGTGGACGTCTTTGGGGACGTTATTCTGTCTACCACACGGGGATCAGGACGTGGACGTCTTTGGGGACGTTATTCTGACTACCACACGGGGATCAGGATGTGGACATCTTTGGGGACGTTATTCTGTCTACCACACGGGAATCAGGACATGGACATCTTTGGGGACGTTATTCTGTCTACCACACGGGGATCAGGACGTGGACATCTTTGGGGACATTTTTCTGTCTACCACATGGGGATTAGGATGTGAACGTCTTTAAGAGAGTTCTCATTCAGTCCACCACACCTACCCTCTGTGTCCCTGGGGATTCCCAGGCGAAAAATAACAACGATAAACAAGAGTCTTTGACCTCATGGAAATCGCACTGCATCAAAGGAGGCAGACATTAAACAAATAATTGTTCCAAGAAGCACCTCACCCTAGAAAATGCCGCCTGCAATGTGACAACACCATCGTATTAAATATGGAAAAGATTGCATGGCAGTTATGTCTGTGGGAGTTCCCCGCCTGTGCTCTTCCCAGCACCATTTCCAGGAGATGGTAATGGGAGTCCACACTTGTGACAGGATGGTTACTGCTCTGTCCTCCTGTGTTTCTGCTCTCCATCTTCCAAGATGGTGGCCAGGCTGTGGCTGCCCTTGGCTCCAAGGAGGATTTTGTGGCTGACTGAGGACAGGTCTGCTCAGTCCTTCATCTGGGGTCACTGTTGGGACAAGCCCGGTGGTGTAGGACTTGGAAGTAACAGCCTCTGTAGGTTCAGGCAGAAGCTTCTAGGAAAGGAGACATGCGCGGGCTGGAGGTTGTGTTATGCTCATAATGGATAACCATTGCCCACACCCCATGGCGCCCCGGGCAGGACGGCTGCCTGATAGATACAGCGAAGAAGGCAGAAAGGGAATCCTTCCTTGGCAGAGCCTCATGTCCCTCAGAGATGCAGCAGAACCACAGAGCTCCTGGAGACCCGTGGACTTAGGAAGGTGCATCCTGTGATACCCAGGGTGGCTGGAAGGATGAAGGACGATGCCCCTTGGGCCAGGGAGTAGCCAGGATGATGCACTCAAGACTGAGAATGAATTCATCACCAGCCCAGTGTGCTGGGGGCTGGGGTCAGACTTACCTTGATTTAGAGGCAGTACAAGATTTTCTCATTTGTCTCATGCTTGTGTGTGTGCACAAGGATTCATCCTTGCTGTGTGCAAATGAGAGTTCTGAAGTCTAGTATATTTGGGTGGTGCTGGAGTCAACAGATGCAAACAGGTTTCCCAACCACACGACTTCTCAGAGAGGGGCCTCGGAGATGGTATTGTTAGTGTCCAAGAGAGTCTGCAGAGTTTCCCAAAATATTTGCCCAGATACCTCCTCTAGGATATTAACCCCTCCCACCAAGATCACCTTGGTTGAAAGGAGTTGGGTTAATAGGACCCACTGCTGTTAACCAATGACAAGCGTGGAGTCTCATGGAAAACAACCCCAGCTGTGCTCCACAAAGGCACTTCCAAGGGCCAAGGGAAGCTAGACTCTGTGTGTCTTTTTTCTTTTTCCTTTATTCTTAAAGAAAGCTATCAAGATTT